CACTGGAAGAGGTTTCCCAGAGAAGTTGTGGATATCCTATCCCTGAAAATGTTCAAGCCAGATTGGATGAGGGTTTAAGCAACCTGGTCTAGTGGAAGGCATCCCTGCCCACATCAGGGGTGTTGGAACTAGATGATTTTTTAAGGTCTCTTCCAATCCAAACCATTCTATGATTCTATGAATATTATGAATTTCTCAGATTCATCACAGCATCGGGAGGGAAAACCGCCTTTGTCAGTGGGAATCTAACCTCCACAGAATCCATACGTGAAATAGCAACGGTCTATCTTCTTTTCAAAAGTCTATTCCTTATGCTATGGTTGAGAGGAGAAAGGCCCCCAAAAAGCTTTTGATGCATTTCCTTTCTCATAGGCCCCAGCTGGAGGCCGTGCCATGGCAAGCTTCCTCTTAATGTGCCCGGGACAAGCATCTTGCCTGGGAAGGTAACAAGCATTGAACCCTCTGCTTGGTGCAGCTTCTCAGCTGAGATCAGTTCCAGTTATAGCACTCCTTTCCTTTTCCAGCGTGAAATCAGACAGATTACTGTAAACCTTTGAAATTACCTATTTACTTTGCAATGGGTGGCAGAGAAGAGGAATGCTTGTTTAGTCAGGCACTGATCTCAGTGGGGAAACAGCAGTTTGTTATTCCCCTTAAATGCAAAAGTGCATTTAATCTACCTTGAGAGGTGTGGAGTGCTGCAGTGCCACAGTCACTTTCGACAGCCAGAAATGTGGGCTGCTATTGAAAGTGGCAATCCCACCCCTTCCTTTGTGCTGGAAGTACTCTTCTCACCGCAGTATACTAGTAGGGTTAGCAAACTGGAATTAATTTCCCAGCTGAAAATTAGTCTTTTATTAAATCTGTCTGAAATCTAACCAGGAGAAGTTTTTTGATCCACAGCTCCGTGTGGTCATAGGAGTACTAGTGCAGGCATGAGGGAGGAGGGCGAAGGGTGCCTTGCAATAGCTTGTGCTCACCTTCCTGGGATAGCGTATTCCCTGAGAGGTGTGGGCATTTTCAAAAGTCTGGAAGAGGACCCTCAAATACCATGTGTATTGGTTCAGTTCTCAGTTCAGTTTAAGTAGCTGCTGTCCGGAGCAGCTTATTCTGCTAGAGGACAATATGCTGTGAAACTTACTGAGCATGTGTGTTGTGTATGAAAGGAAAAATTTACTGGGTTAAGGTACCATCATTCTCAAGGGGTTCTTCCCTTTTCTTTTGTTTTATTGGCAACATTCATCACTATGTTCTCTGCATAAATAAAATAATTTAGTAGTGTCCATTGAAAGGGGGAAGAGAATATTACTTTAATAAACAAAAAAACCCTCATTATTTTTAAACTAGGAATGCTTTGTATTCTTAAGGTAATACTCGACAATAGAATAGGTAATAATAATACACATATTTAATAATATAATCTTTCATGTAGCAGGTAAAAATAAACAAAAAATCCTGTCATTATTTCTCTGAGTTCTTTAGTTTACCTTCTGAATTGTTTAGCAAAAAAATCCCCAGAGATGCTGAAGGTAGGAAAAATAACATACGTAATTAGTATTTTAATTTCAGGACAGAAGAGTACATTTTCAGTGCAATGCTAAAACATTGTATACCCTTTTTGTACTTTTAAAAACAAAATACCAAGATGTGCATACAGGAGTGAAACAACTGTTTATATTAATATCAATTAGCAGTCACAGGAAAGGAGCATTAATAATAAATGGATCACAAACATATTTTAACTTAGGGCATTTGATGGCTGAAATTGTTCTTGCTGTTTCCTACTGGTGTGTTTTTTTTCTGATATGTCCAATCTCAGAAGTTAAGTTTTGGTATTTATAAGCTAGACCAGTGGAAATCACAATGAATCTAAACATATGAAATAGTCTGCTATGAGACCAAGGGTAAGTTCTGAACTCTGTAGGGATCCACACAAAAAGAGCCAAGCACCTTGTCTAATCTTCAGGTCCAGCTGATAAGTTTACTCTCTAGTGAAGCACTGAAGCATAAATGAACCTCAGTTTTCAGAGCTATGTTTTCAGACTTTAATTTCCAATTTAGTAGCCTGAGAAACAGAACGGCTTGTGTAGTTCATAAAAAGAAAGATTAGATATTTGGGGCCAGTCATCCTACTGTATATCTGTCACACTGGGATTGGTTGTTAGAAGGATTTTTTATGTCAGGTTTTACTAAATCAGTTGTCCCATTTCACCTCTATGACCTGTCTTGTTAATGTCATTTATTTCTAGCTTTGTGATGTTTGTCAGATGCTATTCTGCAAGGAAAACATGAAAACTGCAGAGGTACTAACTGAGAAGGCAAGCTAAACCAAGAATTTGTCAATTAAGATCTGCAGATTGGTGGAAATTTAAATAACAATGTATACTTTCTTTTCAGTAATCATATTCTATGTTGAAAAATACCCTTATCAGTCATATTTTTGTGCTTATCAGTAAATCTAGAATCAAACTAGGAGTAGAAAAATTAAACAGAATTTATCTGAGATTTCATTTTAAGATGAAACAGGAAAAGGAAGATTTGTCTGTAACTCGTAACTGGCAAATTGTTGTAGTAGTCGCCATTCATATTTAATATGAATCACTGTGTAACTTCTGAAATAATAACACTTGCTATTAACAAACTTTAAAAAATCATCCTGAAACCTGACTTTAGTAAAATGGTGAAAACATTTATTTTGTGTTGAAAAGTATTTGTTTTACGCTAACCAGTTAATATGGTATTGTTAAAAGTTTTTATGAAGATCAAAGACTTAGCCTGGGGCATTACAAGAATATGTCAAAAGCTTTCAAGAAAAATTAGAAAAGATCAGCAAACGTTTTTATGGCACTGGAAACAGTGGTGCAATTGTACTGTGTGGTACTGTGAAATGCATTTTATGTTTTCTAACATTTTTCGTATGATAAGCATCTTTTTGATTGTCTTTTGCTTCAGGTTTCTTCTGTATCTTCTAATTTTAAACAAAATGCTTCATGACAAATTATAAGTTAAAACTGTGAGAAGGCTGCCTTTATCATCTTATGCTATTTGGTTCTGATTATCATCTCACATACTTAAAATATACTCTTTCAAGTTAATACAGCCTCTTTCTTTTCTTAGCATGTCTGCTCTGAATAGAGCATGAAACAGTTGACTATTTTGGATAGCGTGTTGGCAATTTTTTTCCACTCACCTACACAGTAGAGCAGAAGCCAGTGTTATGGGAACCAGGTGCAGACCATATTTTTAAGTTTTTTTTTTGTTTACTGTAACTAGAGGTTCATGTTTTGTTAAACTTCTGAATCTGGAGATCTGCAATCATCTGAATATAGACATCTATAAAACTTACTTCCAAATGCTGGCAAAATTTAGTATGCCATTGTGCACCTTACTGTACCTGAGTCTTCTCTCTGTCAACTTTCTTCCGTTCTGATTCAATATATTGTACCAGGAAAAAGATAATTTTTTTTTTTGTCTGGTTCCTGATGTGCTTTCAAGAAATTCAGCTTTAACTGGGAATGATTGATAATGTTTTTAATTTGCTTGTTTACTCTGAAGGGCCACTTTCTATTCTTCCTCAAGGCATATGCCTTTGCAGGGTTGTCAGGAGTTCAATACCATCTGACGGAGTTCCTTTAGATATCCCACATGAAGAAAGTTTAATGCTTTAACACCAAATTTACTTGCTTGAAGATGTTTGATGTTACACAGGATTTTGATTTAGCAGAGTGATACAGCAATGTACTGAAATCACGACACAAGTATAATATAGCTATTAGAATACAGCTGAATCACAGTACCAATAGGATTCCCATTACAGGTTTCTACATGCTTACATCACAAGGCTGGATGTCCCCAGGCGCTTGGAAGGCATGCATGGCTTCAAGCTAGCTCAAACCTATTGCTGTCTTTAATGCTCATTTTGTTGGTTGTTTGATTTTCATACTTTGTGTTGAGCTGAGCCTCATATATGCTTTCCCCATGCTGGCCTGGCTGTCGCAGGAGGATAATATTTTCTATTGATTATTTTAGGGAAGTTTGTTTGTACAACCTGTTGATCCACTCAATCAATACAGCTCTTTAGCTACAGCAAAGGCCATCCTACAGTCCCCTTGGTGTTTAGATGAGTTCAGCTTCCTTTACAGAGCTGTGATCACTCCCTAGATTCTCCTCAGAGCTTCATGGAATCATCACCTATGTCCATCTCCTCTGAGCTTTCTTCCATTGTGGGGATTTGTTGATGAGTTTGTCAATTCAGGTGAGAGTATTATGTGAGGTTCTGCTTTTTTTCCTATCAGTTATGTTTTCAGCTTAAAAAAAGACTAGACAGTGAACACTAAAATACACATTCTGCTAAAAAAACGTTGTACTAATTTATCTCCTGTGCATAGTAAAGGAAATATAGATCCGAATTTGCAATGTGTTAATTCTGATAACATCTGTATTAAGGAAGGGCATGTTAGGAATGAGGAAAGCTCTTTTAAACAGATGTATTTCCTAATTCTGTCTGTCATATCTGTTCAGATAGTTCACTCTTGAAGATATGCTGCTAAATATGTATTTTTAATATATATTTGAGTGATACCTAGGAAATCTTAATTTATTATGATTTTCCATAGCTTTGTATATACCTCCTTAGTTTTTGAAAAGATATCTTGTCCTAATGGTACCTTGCATCTATAAAAAAAAAAAAATTGAAACTAGAGGTTCTAGGATTTTTTCCACATTTTAAATCAGGAAGGAAAGTTAAAACTTGAACTCTTCCTTTAATTAATATAACATAAAATCAGATTGATGCATGTGGAATCACTCTGATTTAGAAAATGGTAAAACATAATAAAATGTTAAACATATTATAACATTTAATATTTTATATATTTGGTATTGGAATTAATATTTTACTGTATGTCAAAAGTAAGTGTATAACCATGTTTTATTTATCAAACTGATTATTCCCACTACAATGATATGAAAATATTTTTTGAAAAAAAAATCTTAATGACGTTCCTGAAAACTGGCATGTTTCAGGCATACTTCTGAAAGGTACTTTTTAATTTTACAACAGATCATTGTTCTAGCATCCTTTCATCACAGTATCTATGAAAAACTAAAGTGTTCATATATCCTAGGCGCATGATCGTGTTTATGCTGATCGCATACAGTTAAAAAAGAGTTGTTATTAAATTGAAGTTTCATTTGGAGAAGATGCAGTGCAGACTAAACAAAAACTTTATAAAGTTTTGCTCACTGTTTTGATCAGTCGGTACTCTGAATTCATCATTTTAGATCCTGATCAAATTAACAATATAGCTTTGTCTGAATGCCATTGATTTAATTGAATTGGGCGTTGTCTTATTAATCAGATATGATTTTTTAAATCTACCTGTTGTATAATTTTAAGATATAATAGATTTTGCTCTTTTGTTTTTAGGCTATTTACTGTATCTCTTTCAATGCAGAAAAAGAAGTTGTAGACCAACAATTTGCAACATGCAGGAAGGAAAGGAAAATTCCTTTCCAAGTATTCCAGACTCTATTTAGAATAGAAAATAAAAATTAAATGCTGATCACATTGAAGTCAGTGTGAACTCATGTATTTAAATAGTAGTTATGAATTCTTTTCTCTCAGCAGTCGTTCTGTAGTAAAAATGAGATCAGCTCCTTCAAAATGTCACGATTATTGCCATAAAAAAGTTGTTACTGTGAAAGTTTTGTTTTCAAGACACCTTTATGATCAGTGAAGCTAGAGACTTTGAAAATCTATTTTTACTTTTTAAAAGGGAAATTACAGGAATCCTAAGTGTGTGGATTTTTTGTTTTCTCATAGTCTCGTAGCATGTTCAACCATGAACAGAACTGAGACAAACAAAAAAGTAGCTGTGCTTGTTCTTGTCTACAGGCTGGAATTAGTATAACCAATTAGATGAAAAATCTTCACAGTAGGTAACTTGGAGTTCTTCTCCTTTTTCCCTTCTTCTGCCTTTGTAAAAGAAGACTCTTATCTTTCAAACATGGTTACAAGGTATAACATACTGACTAAATAAAAACAAAGTGTTAACAATGCCCTTAGTTTGCAGAGTGCATTTTTGTAAGTTGCTCTGTTAAAATATATGTAAATAAAACCCCAACCAAAACACCCCAAACCAACCAATAAACCAACCAACCGATTCACATCTGCCAGTGGTCCAGGGGAAGTAGTGAGTAGCCTTTTAGGCACCTTTATGCAAACACTGAGAGTTCTACAAAAACGTAGACTTGCTGTGATTGAACGCAATCGGTCCTTTCTCTGTACCTCTGCTTCGCATCCTTTAGTGATGGGTGATGGCTATGAAACTCCAGGAGAAAATAAATGGGAAATAAATTCATTTCTGCACTGTGGAGTGGGGTAATATGTTAAAACTGATGATTCTGCCTTTGCCAATATCATTACTGAATCCTTTAATGGGACCATTGCTAATTAAATAATAAATTAATCATTCTCTTCACCCTACCCACGTACACCTTGACGAATTAGGTCCCAGTTCTGAAGGATCCTGAAAGCAAGAACTTGCAAAAAAAACCTGGGAAGTAGATTAGGAGAAAGTGATGTGTTGAAACAAAAACATGCATGTGAAAACAGGATTGTTGTTTTTAATGAGTCTCCTGACATTAATCATATGGGATTCTTGAATTTTCAGAAGTTAGAAGCATTTTTGTTCACTTCAGTTAGATTTACAAAGAGCAAAATTGAAAAATAAATGCTGGAAATCTGAGTCATGCTGTTCTATTTTGTTGTTGTTAACTGGTAAACACTTGGCAATAATGTGACCAGACAATGAAAACTAGCAGCATCCTGGGCTGTACCAACAGAAGCAGAGGCAGTAGGTTATGGAATTGATTATTCCCCTTTACTTGTCACTCATTGGACCGTATCTCAAATAAGGTATCCAGTTTTGGGACGCACGGTGCAAGAATGATGTTGGTAAACAAACGCATTCAGGGGCCACCAAGGTAGTCAGGGGGCTGAAGACTCTACCCCGGGAGGAGAGGCTGGGGGATTGGGGTTTGCCCAGCCTAGAGAAGGGACAGCTGTGGGGAACCCTGACAGCCATCTGTCCTTGCTTATGGGAAGGTCACCAAGAAGATAGAAGCAGACAGGAGAAGAGAGAACGATGATCATGAACTGAAAGGGATTTGTCTGTCTGGGTATAAAGAAAAAAAAATCCTCATGAGAATAATTAAGCACTAGGTAGACTGCCAGAGAAGTTTTTATATCTTCATTATAGAAAGTTTTCGAAGCTCCCCTGGATGAGGCCCTGGGCAACTTTGTCTGCATTCAGTGCTGACTGTGCTTCGAGCAGAAGGCTGGACTGGGTGACCTCTTGAGTGATTCTATGATTTTAGGACTATACTTTGCATTAATGTATTTACTGATGGCATTGAATTTAGCCCTACAGGCCAAGTTTAGGATTGACCTTAAACTTTCTTCAGTTTGTGTATAATTTCGTGTGTATAGCAGGCAACTATTTCCATGTACAGGTGACCAAAATTCGCTGACCTGGTAACTAAAAAGAATCACCTCCCCTGAAAAATGTGAAGCAATTTGAATTGGAGTAGATAAATCCTGGCTTCCTGGAAAAAAGGGAAAACTAACTTTAGTTTTCATCTGTTCCCAACATTAGTCCAAAAGACCTGGGAGATCAGGCTCATGCAGAGGTTGTTGGCCAACTCGTGAAAAAAAGAGAGATGCATGACTCTTCCCTGGACTGCTCACTGCTATGTGTGAAATAAGTCTTGTCTTAAACCACACTGGATTGTGATTTTGATATCTAATTTTCAATCCGAAAATTAGGTTACTAAATATAGCAATTTAAAATCTTGATGTTATAAGTGGAGTTTGTGATTTTGCTAATATACAGTCAAATTAGATAAGTAGTTCACATATCTATCTGTTTAAGGTGACATATGAATATCAAGGAGATAACTTATAAGTTGCATTTGCCTGGAGGCAGAAATGCAAAATCAAGCCTTTGCAGACCAGGTTGCTTTTTATGTAAACTCTCTTTCTCTTTAATAAGTGGAAGGAGGAAGGATGTGCTGAAAGGATGGTCTTGAGTTCTGACAACTGACTAAGTAAATTATAGTGAAGCTGAAACCATGGTATCTATGTATTTTAATAAGAATTTCATAATCCTCTTCTCTAATGACTCCATATTTTGCAGGGAGATACTATGATTATTATTAATCTCAGTGTCTGAAGTCATTTGGAGTTACTCAGTTATGTTCTATATTTCTAAATTCCAAGTGACATTTCAAGGTGAGTAGGTAAGAGATAATTGATTTTTTTTTTTCCTCCCAAGAACATTTTTTATGAAAGATGACTGACTGGCATAATACACAGTGTATGAAATTTCCTTTTTCCTGCTAAAGCAGAAAAAATAGTAAAACCCACCTAAGACCACATGTTAACACTGTACATTCTGCTCAAGTTTCAGTTAATTCCTGGGAAGCTTAGCTTCAGATCCAATGCACAGGGCATTTTTATGTCATTTCTGATATTCCTAGCATACATACCTGAGCCAAAGCTTCAATGAAGTAAACTAGATTTCATAGCAGAAAAGCAAATTAAGTTTGAAACTGTAATACTCTTGTCTTGTGCAGTCTTTATTGCAATACCTTACATTTCAAGGAAGAATCACAGTAATCTTCAATTAGAACTTAAAAAATATCAACTTTGTCACCTAAGTGTCACACTGCCTACAACCCTAAATGTGTTCTTTCTTAAGTATTGTTTTCTAGTAGGATTCATCCTTGGTTCCCATTTCTTTTAGTTTTGAGTCAGTTCTCATTCAACTTTGGAATCTGGGCCAACTATGAACAATATATTTTTTATAATAGCAGAATTCTGAAGCACTGTAGAGTTAAGAAAGGGAAACAAAAAAGCCAACACAACCTAGATGCTTAGACAGCTCAGCTGTAGTTTAACATTCATTTTTCCTTTCTGATACATTAATTTCTTGTTAGTTTTGAAACAATATAATGTGGCAGTTTACTTTGCATTTCATTTATGAATTAGCATTCTTAGAAGATATTTTATAGCTGGCTTTAGACTAATTATAATGTAGAGCCACAATTGACTGTTTAGCCTACATTTAACCAAAGCAGATCTGCAGGTCAAAGGTCAAAACTATGGTAAAGGTTATTTGAAATACACAGAATCCAGACGTGCACATTGGCAGATCATAGTATAAAATTTTAAACCTAATTTGAATTAAGATACCTCTGTTGTGTGTTTAAGAAACATAATTGAGAATAACTGAATTTGTAGAATTTGCCAGTCATCTTAACTTCTTACAAAGTTAATTTTGCATAATTTATCTTTGATAGTTATCTGAAGAAAGGCTTTAGATCTTACCCTTTTTTTTTTCTAATATTTTTATTTATCATGAAGAACTGGCTTTTTTGGAATACTTGCATTTTAGTAAATTCAGACAAGCCTACCCATGTTTATTTTAATATTTTTATTTATCATGAAGAACTGGCTTTTTTGGAATACTTGCATTTTAGTAAATTCAGACAAGCCTACCCATGTTTATTTTTATAAAGCTGCTTACTATGTTCCACATTAGTGGCTGATCAGAAACTGGTCCACTATGTCTAATGACTAAGTTAATACTGAGACACAATCAGTAACATATCTGTTTTGTTGTACATCAACATTATTATTAGCAAGAACAACACCATGAATATCATTATGCCTTCTTGCCAATGATGTGATCAGAGGTATTAGAGAATCAGACTCAATTATTTTGATGTAAATCTTGGGTTTTGGATTCTACACAGTCTTCAGTTTCAGAATATCTTGTTGGGCAAGGATGTTCTTTGAAATATTCAGAATTGTTCAGGCAAAAATTTGGGAAAATGCATAGTCTAGTTTGTTCTTTAGATATAATTACAAAAAATAATGGTATAGTTCATTAGTGTATATTGATTAGAATTAAAATATATTCAATAGTTCAGAATATGCCAAAATCATATATAA